CCCCCCCTTAAAAATCAATTAAACTAGGGCTATAGTTATAATTTTTTAGGAATTAGAGCAGGGTTCCTGTAATTTTGGAAGTTTAGCAAGGGAAATCCATGGAAAGAGTCCCTTAAAAATCAATAAAACGTTCCCTATCCTAGGAGCTTGTTTAAATTTAGCTGGAGGTTTTATTGGCTGGGCTGAAGACATCTCTCTTGTAATGTTGATAAGACAATCAAAGAGGACTTTCATATTTCCTTACCAATCATTCTGTTACTGAATTTCTCTTTTGTGTGCAGTTAATTTGGGCTTTTATAACATTTTGGTACATTTTCTCAATTGTTTTGCAGTGACATTTGTCATATCAGTTCTTCTGTTTCTTAAATGTAATTACTTTCGCAATCTGAAAGAGCATGGTAAAACACAGAACGCTGTTTCCTTGTTAAATATTGAATAGCATAAAGTGCCAGTAATTTTTTCCACTTTACTTGTACAACTGGAAGCTGGGCCTTAAACTTACCAAATGTATATTGCAATTAGCAGCTTCATTTATATACCGCTTCATACCACACTAGGCATTCATTTTAGTGACCTGAGGAAGGATGCAGGGCTGAGTGGAGCCTGAGCCCTGGCTGGTATTGAGGTCACAACTTTGTGGTTTGTAAGTGAGGGCGGCAGTACAAGCATTCAGCCCCTGCGCAACCAGGACTACATTGCCCTGCTGTGCGTCTGACATCCCCACCACATCCTCCCTCTTGTTGTTTTTACACTAACAATATGTGCCAAGCTCTTGGGAGGCTGTGTGGGGTAGTGGTTTGAGCAATGGACTGTGACTCTGGAGACTAGAGTTTGAATCCTCACTCAGCCATGGAATTCCACTGGATAGTCTCAGGCAAGTCACACTCTCTCGGCCTCAGAGGATAGCAAACTCATTGTAAACATACTTTGTCAAGAAAACCCTGTGACTGAGTCACCAAAAGTTGGAAATGACTTGAAGGCACGCAACAACAACAACAAATCAAGATTTTGTGACAATAAGATATTTCTGCATTCTAAAAGTCCAACTTAGATTCTCTTTTACTAATGTTCTTTCTTTCTTTCTGAGCTAATGCTGAGTTTCTGGGCTAATGCTGGAAATTTTAATGTTGTAAGCCACCCCAATTGCTCTGCAGAGGGGTGGATATAAATTATTATTATTATTATTATTATTATTATTATTATTATTATTATTATTAGTTTCGATAAGGATGGAGACAGTTTGCAGGACAATCATTGTCCTTTTGAATATGGGGTTATTTCAGGCAGAACTGATGTCCTATAATGGAATGATGGATTAAGAATGGCCACATTAACTTCAAATAAATTTGGACCAAAATAAACATCTATAGGGGATGTAAAACTGACTCAGTATTAGAATACATCTAGAAGGGACCTCAAGGGTAAACTAGTCCAACCCCTGCTGATCCCAGCTAAAGCGTCTCTGGAAGGTGGTGTTAAGAACCACTGCATCTGAGAGACTCGATTTCTCTGTCAAACTTCTTCTTGTTATTGTGACATGCCTTCAGGCTGACTCCAATTTATGATGACCCTCTCCTAGGTTTTTCTTGTCAGGAAGTCTTTCAGAGTAGACTTGCCCCCATTGACTTCCTCTGAAGCTGTGAGACTTGCCCAAGGTTACCCAGTGGGTTTCCAGGGCTGAGTGGAGATTTGAACCCTGATCTCCCAAGATTCCTAGTCCAAGCACTATACCACATTGGCTGCCAGGAAAAATGTCTTCCCAGGAGGTTCGCCATTGCCTTCCTATGAGGCTGGTTGCCTATGGGGTGGATTTCTGTAGCTGAGCAGCTCTTTAAGTCTTGGTCTCCTCAGATTCCTAGTGCGGCACTCAAGCTTCTTCACTATAGCTCTCAGCACGAAGAAAAAGCTTTTTCCAAAAGTTTAGTCATAAATAAACATCAAGAGGCTGTTATAAGAATGGCTTTAAAATTAAAAACCCCTTTGTGGGTCTCCTGTCATGGCCCTAAACCGGAAAAAGCCCAGCTGCCATGGATCCAAGGTGAGGACCTCAGGTAGGCCCCTGAGAGGTCACATCTGCCTCTGCAACAATTAGCGGATCAAAAGGCCAGGCTTAGGAGCTGCAAAAGCCTACACTCTCTGAACTCTGGAGACACAGAATGAGATAACATCAACATCCCATCTCCCCTCTTTGAAAATTGTCTCCTTCAAAGACAAGCTATCAGAATCCTTTGATATACAATCATCAATCTTCGTTCCCGGCTATTTTCAGCCTATATTAAGACCTCCAAATCTGTGTTCTGAGAGCTGGTTTTTGGAAGGGAAGGGAAAAGGGGGGATCTCATGCCTTCCCTGAAATTCCTAACCATTATCCCTCGGCTACCTCCAACGCAACTTCACTCCATAAGTAAGCAGCTGAGTTCATTCTTCTACAAGGAGTGCAGAGTTTCTAGGCAATTATTCTGTGTGTGAAACCTTTCTTACAGCTTCCATGTTTCCTCTATGCGTATGTGTGTGCTTGCTTGTTGATTTATTTTTCTTCCTTAATAAGAGTACCATTCTTTGGAAGGATGCTGTCTCTGCTAAGGTACTCCCCTCCCTCTCCCTGCACACGTTGGGTTGCGATCTGGCTTACTAATTTTGAGCTAATTATACATCCCCCAAGGTCAAGTTCTTATTACAAGGCAGTGTATTTTTTGGAAAGCTTCACTGGGCCCATATACAGCCTGATTGGCAGCTGCTGGGTTGAGGACCTTACAATTATTGAATTTTATCCAAGTTAAGTTTGTCACTCCTAGTCACCACTGAAATCAAGAGGACCTGAGCAGTTATGACCAGCTTTTCATCTTGCTTTATACAGATTGGAGCACAACTAATGTGTTTTGGATCCAGTTCTTTGGTTCCACAGCAGTTGTACTACACCATTCTCTGAGTTGTCAATGGCTGAGGACTGTGGCATGTTTTAGAATATAAATGAAATATTCATGTTGGACCCTGCATATATGTAATATACATTTGATTCATCTCCTTTCCAAGGCAGTCCAAGATGGTCAGCAGGAACCCTCCAGAGGCAGTTGTTCCCAACTCTGACTATTCCAATAGCGATTTTTGGGACTGGCTCAGCCAGCAACCAAGGTAAGTTGTGTTGTCACACCCTGGGGCCAAAGTATAGACCCAGGACCTCCAATTATCTTTTTCTCTTAAGTTTCTTTTTCCTTTCCCAGTTCTAAACTCCATCTAAAAGCAGCAGATGGTTTATGGCAGCATACAATTGCCCTTAGTCCCACCCCAGCAATATTCTGGCAACTTCAGCTGTCAAATTATAAACAAATTAACAACCACAAGTAAATGAATTTGCAAGTTCCAAACAATTTTCCAAGATACCTATTAACTTCAAGGCCCTGTTCTGGAAAAACACACACACACATACACGAGATTTAACCAGAGGCTGGATGGCCATCTGTTGGGTATGCTTTGATTGAGAGTTCCTGCATGGCAGGAGATTGGACTGGACGGCCCTTGTGGTCTCTTCCAACTCTATGATTCTATGAGGTCTAACAGAATCACAGACCTACTGGAAGGGAGGGGGTATTTTAGTTCACCTCTTGGTCGCCTGGCACCCTCATGGTCAAGTTTGGTGTGACTTTGGGAGAGGCCCTTGTGGGTGGCTGCAGCCATGCCCTAGAAGTCCCTTGCTAGACTGGCTCCCTCCGTGGTGTCCTTCTGTAGGCAGGGATACCATTTCTTATTCCAACAGGATTTGGGGAAATGACACTTTTATAAAGACAGGGCTTTTAATAGTGTGCTATACTTTTTAAAATTTATGTTTTAAGTGCTGTTAGTGTTACAGGTAATTACATTTTAACAGTAACTGCCCGTAAATCGACCTCGACCCATGGCAACCCTATGAGTTCCAATTCAGACTGAGGGATGGGACTTCCTTGATTGACTCTACCCATCCGGTGTGCAGTCTTCCTCTCTTCCTTCTGTCTTCTACCTTTCCAAGCACTGACCTCCATTCTAGGGAGTCATGTCTTCTTACGGTGTGGCAACCTTAATTTACTCGTCCTGGCTTCTAGCGGGAGTTCAGTCCTGATTTGTTCTTGAACCCATTTGTGTGGGGTTTTTTTTAGCTGTCCACAGTATCTGCAGAACTTTTCTTCAGCACTACTTCTCAAATGAGCTGATTTTCTTTTTGTCAGCTTCCTTCATCATCCAGCTCTCATACACATACATAGTGATGGAAATACGATGGCATGAACAATCCTAACCTTAGTTTTCAGTTGTATATCTTTGCACTTTAGGGTCTTGTCTAGTTCTTTTATAGCTGCCCAGTCCTAATCTTTTCTTGATATCTTGACTACAGTTTCCCTTCCAATCAATTATTAAGATATCCAAGGTATGGAAAGTCTTTATTTAAATTTTCTCGTAATCTGCATTGAATTTGTGTAGTTATCCTCCATGGTCATGATTATTTTTTCTTAATATTCAACAGTAAGCCTGACTTAGCACTCTCTTCTGGCCTTTGCAGACTGCCAGAAATAGTGCAAATTGAGTCCACTTTAAGGGTTAGGGTTAGGGAATAATGGGAACTGTCTTTTATTGTGGCACCAGAGCTCTCTGACAGAGAAGGCTATATGTCTCAGGAAAAAAAAAATAATTCCCATGATTCCCTAGCATTAACCCTAACCCTTAAAGTAGACTCAATTGGCACTATTTCTGGCAGTCTGCAAAGGCCCTTCTTTGACTTTCCTTAGTTCTAAGTCTTTTTATTTCCTGTTAGTATGATGGCGTCATCTGCATATCTTAGGTTGTTCATATTCCTTCTTCACTCCTCCTTCCTCCAAGTCCAAGCCTGCTCTGTGTATGATGTTTTCTGCATATAAGTTAAACAAACAGGGTGATAAAATGCAGCCTTGCCTGACTTCCTTTCCAACTGGGAACTATTCTGTTTCAATCAAATGTAGTGGTCTGCCCAATTCTTTAAGAATAATCCATTTTCATTATCTATGCAGTCAAAGGCTCGCTATAATCTATAAAGCTCTCAAACTTTACTTAGGGTCTGCATATATACCTCTGTTTCTCCACTGCATCTACAAAACCAGGGGCTAATACATAGAATCTCATCAACCTGAAAGTGGGAAAATAATTCCTACATCATAAGACAATTAAAAATAGAGAGTCACTGACTTCTGAAGTTGCAGTGCTAAAACTGTCAACATTAAGGATGCTAGGCATCAGTTTTCTATATGGTTCCTTGACCATCAGAAACATGTGCATAGACAAAATACTCAATCAAATGTGTTCCAAATATACCCAACTTAGACCAGTGAAGAATTTTATTTAGCAGAATTTAGACTATGTACAATTACATCTAATATGTGGCTGTTGAGTTTTCATGACTGAGAAAAGCATTCTCTAGCCTAGGTATAAATTTTATGTCTGTTAAGTTTTTAAGTGAAACACAATGGTACTTTGCTGAGTACTTTTATCTTTCAGCTCCTGTTGGATGGAAGAATACCATGAGGCACCAGTCCTGCTGGTAGGTTTTTAATGGATGGCATTAAATTTGCTTTTCTCCTGCAGAACTAATGCCTTTTGTAAAAATAGGAAAATGCAAATTCTGTATAGTGTGTGTATGTGTGTTTCTCTGCAAGCCTCATTTGCTTTTTGGAACCTGACATCTTTTGAAGCATGAAGTGAGTGTATCACATGTTTGTGAAAAGAGGGAAGATTATTCTTTTGCCTGGAGAATTTTACTAGGCTCCAGTCCAGTTGCCCAGGGAAAGAGATAACAGCACTTTATGCAAGTCGAACTGGTGTTTTAATGCCATTTTCCATTTCCCTCACTCT